TTTTTTTTTTTGGGCGGGGGGTTTGTTTTATAACCCAGCTCTGCTGATGGAAAGGATGTAGGTATGTATATGTACAGGTAATCCTGGGGTCCTCTGCCATACCCAAGCCACAGTGCATCTCTGTGGCATGCAGGACAGGTCCCCTTTTGTCCCCAAGCCAGCCCAAGTGCCTGGAAAACAGAGTTACCACTTGTCTGGGAGGCAGTAGAGAAGCAGCCCTCGCTGTGCCTTTGGGCTGGGCTGGGCAATCTGCCATGGCTGTGCCATCACAGGACTGGGAGTGTGTGCAGGTCAGTGTGCCAGAGAGAGGCAGCTACCCAAGGGCAGCCAGCTCCCACTCCTGGGAAGGGGGACAGAGGCTCTGGGAGCCCTGCTGGAGAGGGGTGCAAGAGTGAAGAGCAGTGGGAAAGAGGATGTTTCAATCCAGCCTTGGGTCATTGCCCTGTTAGAGTTAGAGAGGCTGTGGGGCTGGGCAGAAGTGCTGCCCTTGTGGGAAACCCCACCACTGCCACCAGCATTTGAGTTCTGGGTGGAGGGATGGGAAGTGAATTCCCCCATCCCAACCCACCTCCTTTCTCTTTCTCACCCTGCACTTCCCTTGAGGAGGGGATATAGTATGGCTTGGAGGGAGCTGGCCCGAGCAATCCCCACTGCTGGACTAAAATCACCAGATGTGCCTTTGCCCCTACACCTCACAAGCCAGACCCACAGCCTTCCTCTGGGATGACCCAACTGTGGTGCTCTGGACTGTCCATGACTCAGTTTCCCCCCAGCATCCTCCCAACACAGCCTGGGGAGATAGTCCCTGGCTCTGCCACGCCCAGCACCGACTCACACAGCATCTTTGTGACCTGCCTCCTCTTGACTTTCTTCTGCCCCTGGGGGCTGTGGCAGTTGCGGCTGCTGCCGGTCTTGGCTTCCAAGGCTTCCAGCATCTTTTCCTTCTTGAGCTGCAGGCCAATGAGAAGGTAGAGGACACTGATGGTCCCCATGGGCAGGAAGAAGAAGAGGATGGTGGTGACCTGGATGATGAGATTGTAGGTCAAGCGTGGTTTCACGAGGGTGCAGATCTCCGACTCGGGCACCCGCCCCCGTCCTGGCACGTAGAGAGGCTGCAGCCCATGGAGGCTGGTGTTGGGGATGGAGCAGACGACCGACAAGACCCAGATGGTGACAATGACCCTCTTGGCGTGGTTCCTGGTCACCACGTACTTGGCTTTGAGCGGGTGCACCACAGCGATGTAGCGCTCCACGCTCAGGGCTGTGACGTTGAGGATGGAGGCGAAGCAGACGGCCTCGAAGAGCAGCGTCTTGAAATAGCAGCCGCTGGCCCCCAGCAGGAAGGGGTAGTTGGTCCACATGTCGTAGAGCTCCAGCGGCATCCCCAGCAGCAGCACCAGCAGGTCGGACACGGCCAGGCTGAACAGGTAGTAGTTGGTGGGCGTCCTCATGAACCGGTGTCGGAGGATGACGATGCAGGTGAGCGCGTTGCCCACAGCCCCCACCAAGAAGATCAGCAGGTAAATGACACAGACTGGGAGAAAGAAGTTGGACCGTCGAGGTCCCAGGTACTTATCCCGCAGCTGCTCCTCTGTCAGGTTGGCATCCTTAGGGTCAAAAAAGGTCTCTGGGTGAGTCCTGCTGCTGAGATCAGGGCTGATGGGCTCCACAGGGAAGTCTCGCTGGGGCAGGGGGAACTCGGAACTGGAGCAGTTGACATAGGAATTCATGGCTGTGGAGAGATGGAGAGGTTTGTGGGATGCTTTCCCAACTTCTCTGCTCCCCCTGCTCCCATTGTCCCTCTCCCCACTGGTGTCAGGATGCCGGGATTCTGCTGATCACCAGGGCTCTGCTCTCCTGCACCCATCCTGCCCCAGACACAGCCTTTCCTTTGTGAAGCCACACAAAATCTCCACCTAAACTCTCTCAGGCTTCTCAAGTGCTTTCTGCCCCATTTCCCATCCGCAAACAAACCTGGCAGCTCCCCAGTCCACCTCAGCCCCTTTGCCCCATGAGGGGAATGTCAGTAGGGCTACCCTCTTTTCCTGCTCTGTAAGCAGAGCAGGATACAACCCCAAAAATCTCTCCTGGCAGCAATTCTACCGGCTATGTAGAAGGGCTGGCAGGGCAACCAATAAAACAGCCAGAGGGAAAATTGATTTTCCAACATGATAAGGACTTACGGCTTGTTGGGAAACTCCAGATGAACGCTGAGGTCCCACCACCCCTGCGCCGGACAGGGTCAGGGCTGGGGAGGGAGCGTGGGAGGGGATGGAGACTTCACTGCCTTAAGAGGCAGGCGAATGAAATCCTGCCGCTGCTTTCCCCTCGGAGCTCAGCTCGGAAAAGCCGCCTGCCCTTATCCACCTTCTCCCTCGTGTCCGCTGTCAGCTGAGAGGCTGAGGGCTGTGCCAGGGGCTTCTCTTCCCACCGCTGGCCAAACAAATCGCGGTGCCGAGACCCTGCCCCTGCCAGGGGTTGGCTCCTTATCTGCAAAGCAGCACTGACAAAAAGCTGCCCTTCAGAGAGAGGAAATAGCGTTAAGGTAATAAACTCCATCGACTCAGAGAGTCCCAGGGGAGGGCGGCACAGACGTCTCCTGCCCTCCCGGCAGCCGTCGCAACGCCGGCATTTGTCATCCGCTGGCCTCGGCGGTGAGTAAAGCATCCATCGGCCCGCGGCCGCCCGGCACCGTCCGGCGCGGGAGCCGCTGCAGCGCCCGCTTCTCCGGGCTCATCTGGGGACATGCAGATGGACCCGACGGCTTCCCGAGGTCTCCCGCTTCCAGATGTGCCATCCCCGGGTCACCCGAATCACTCCCCCGTGAAGCAGGTGGCTCCAGCCGGCTCCGGTCACACCGGGGTGCGAGGAATTCGCCCCGTGCTCCGCGTCCGGCTCTGCGCCCTCCCCGTGCCCGGTGTCTGTCCCCGCTCCCGCCCGCCCTCAGTGGTGACACCCCCGTGCCAGGGGACGCTCCCGCTCTGCCATAAGGCCCGCGCACCCACATGTACCTGTCTCGCACACACAGACCCACTCGCGGTTCCTGAGCTCCACGGACTCGTGTCACGGCGGCGTGTCCCGGTTCTGCCCGCGGCTCCTCTCTCCTCCACGTGCCGGCCCGGTCCGGGACCCGCCCGGAGCCGGAGAAGCGCCGGCCCCGCTCCGCCCGCAGGGTGGGGGCTCCGCGGCTCGGGGCTCCCCAGCCCCGCCGTGGGGAGGGGCGGGGTGCGGGGTGGGCAGCGCATCCTCCCGCCGCTCCGTGCGACGGCCGCGGGCACTGCCACCCGCGGGACGGGGCACAGGGACACGCACCGGTCCCTTCATCCCTTCCGAGGGTGGCAGAGCGCAGGTGGACCCGGTCCCCCCAGGGATGACACCTTGAAGGGCTCTGTCATGCCCAGACTTACCTTCTGCCTGTCCCAGCACCATCCCACCCTGCACAGAGGCTGAGCTAAAAGAGCCCCAGCAGGGCTGAATTCGAGCAGGCAGTACAGGGATCTTGGAGAAGGAAGCTGGAGAAACCTGCCAGGAGAGCTCTGCTGCCAGCCCCACACGGGCTGAGCCCAGCACAGCTGACTGCACTGCCCAGCGTGCTGCTTGTGGCCAGGATGCGAGGAGCTACCTGGATCTGGTGGCCTCCAGCACCAGGACACAGCCCCTGGGGTCCTGCACGGCCAATCCTCCTGGTGCCAGAGCACACAGCAGATGGAGCAGTCCTCTCGCTCCTCATTGACTTTGCCCAAAGAAATTCCAGAGCAGGTGAGGGGTCACAGGACCAGACCAGCAAAGCCCTGGGCTGTCTTGGAAGCCCTGACCTGCCCTACCTCTGCTCCCTGCAGCAAAAAAGCATCAAGCAGAGGGGAGCTGGCAGAGCAAACACTCCAAGGGCACAAAGGGTCTGTGGCTGCCCGAGCCCTGGCTTTCCTCAGGAAACCATCTTTTCCCCCAGAGGAGAGGAACTGCTGAAACCAAAGGCCTGGAGGGTGAATGAGTGTAAACAAGACATTACTCAAAGGAAAAAATCAACAAACTGGAAACAATGTCTGAAACTGGGAGGGAGAAGGAGAGGAGCTGCTGCCTGCTCCTATGGAGTGAGGAAATGAAACTTCATTCCCTCCGGGGATGGAGACACAGTAAAACAGGGTTACGGCATAGTGCTGGTGACAGCTGGGACAGGACACAGGGACAGCAGCAGGATGATGCTGGCAAGGGCTCAGCAGGACTGTTTCAGCAGATGCCAGGGTGGGTGACAGTGCCAGGGAAGTGGCACGTTGCAGGTCACACCCCCTGGGTGGCAGAGCTATAAACAGTAAGTGATGAGGCAGGGATTTCTTTCCCTGCCTCCAGACTGTGCCCAGGTTGTTTTCCCTGGGGGATGCCCGAGGCAGGGAACAGATCTGTGCCAGTGCAGAGGCACAAGAAACCTCAGCATGAGCCCACTTCAGGGATTACAACGTGGAAAGAAGCATTCCAGGAAATCTCACTCCCGTCCATTCCTCCTCTGTTTTCTGAGTGCCCTGATGAGCACAGTCACACACAGCCAGCTCCCAGCACAGTCCCAGGTGCTCCCCGAGCTCTGTGCACTGTTACACAGCCACCTCCCCATCCTTGGGGCAGAGGCTGTTCCCTGCACACAGCCACAATTCCTTAACTGTCTTGTTCCTCATCTCTGTCCAGGTTTTGCCTCAGGGCAGCCCCTGGGGAGCCCCCTGAGCTCTGCACCTCTGTCCTTGTCCCTGCAGGAGCCCCCATGGCTCACGTGTCCTGCACTCCCAGGAGGATGAGGGGATGTCTGCAGGGGCCAGGGTGTTTGGAGGTTGCTTGGATTGGAAGAAAGCAGTGGGGATGTTGCTGAGCTCTTGACAAACTTCAGCATCTGTTTCCCTAAAGCCTCCTTTCCTTCTGAGGACAACAGGCATGTAGGAAGGATGGTTTGCAAGGACAAGACAAGGCTTGGTTCTCTCCAGAATGACTCACAAGTCCCCCCATCCACACCAGGCTGTCAGATCCAGAATTCCAGGTGGTGGCAGACCTCTCTGCCCCGTTCACAGCCCCATTTTTTCTGGGACACCAGAACCAAGGGACATGGGATCCTTCTCCCTTTGTCTCCTCACTTCCCTCATCATTCACATCAGCCTGTTGGAGCATCCCACATAAGTGGGGTCTCAAGAGCTGCTCCCACCCTACCTGCTGTCGTATCTCTCTGGGAAGAGTTGGTAGCTCTCTCTGACTGCATATCACTTCTTTCTCTTGGATCTCTTTCTTCCTGCATCCCACCTCTAAGTACTCACAAATCTAACAGTCCTTTAGAATGATCCATTCTCTCTTTTAATTTTCTGATAAACCAAACAACCAGGAGGTGACAGCCCCTTTTCCTCTATTGCTCAGAAGAAGGTAAACTTCACATGGGAGCTTGATCCTTCAGCCTGTTCCTCTGATCAGGTATTTGTTATATTAACCCTACTGGGGAAGTAGCAGGGAGGATGGCCAGCTGCACATCAAAACTGCTCCTCCTCATGGTCTGTCAGCCACAGCCCAGCCCTCTCCATGGGCAGAGCACCTCTGGGTTAGGCTGGAAGAAGACAAGCAAGGGCACCCATGAGGCTCCCTTTGGAAGCCCAGTTCCAGTGTTCCTCCTGCTCCCTGCTGTTCAGCCATCCCTGCCAGGGGGCCAGCCAGTGCTGAGCTTGTCCCCACTCGCAGCTGGCTCTCCCCACGAGTGGCTTAAGGCTGCCACACAGAAGCTGAGCAAGGCTCCTGCTGCACCAGGAGAATTAAGAAGCCAAAAGAGAAAGCAAACCTCAGTTTCAAAGCTCAAGAGGCACAGCCCTAAAAACCTACTGCATCCACTTGTGGCTCCTTTCAAGAGGGCATCACACAAGAAGTGCAGGGCAGCCCAGCACAGCCTTGTAGAGCTGTCTGTGCTCCATCCATTTCGTCCTGCACTTTGCAGATTTAATTAACACCCTCTGGTTGTGGAAGCAAAAAGCCACCAAGCCACAGGTAACATTGCATCCAAGAGGGAAACTGAGGCACAGACAGTCCCTTGTCTCCTCTGTGCTATCCTGCAGCAGGCAGGAGCCCCTGGGCTGCATTCTGCTGCCAGAAGGGACCAGATGAGCAGCCCCTTCTCAGGGAATTGCTGCAACAAATTTTCCAGGGCAGGGATAGCCAGCACAGACAGAACAGGGTCACGAACCCTCTCCCCTTGGAGAGGAAGCAAATCTCTTGGCCGTGAGGATGTAAAAGGGGCTTCTCTCTCTGCTGGGAGCTGCCTACTCAAAGCTGCCCCTCTTTGGTCACCTGGAGATGAGAAGCCTAGAGGATGCATTTCAGAGAGCAGGAGGATGTTTTTTTTTAGACTTCAAGGCCAGGAAGGGCCACACAGACCCACAGGGCACCAAACAGGCCCAGATGTGGATAATTTGGCACAGACAGGTCAATGAGGTGGCCTTTTCAAAGCAGCCCTGCTGTGTTTTATCCAGCAGAGCCTACCAATCCATCCTTGTCTATGTGGGACACCCTCCTGTAATAAATTTTTAGCCATCACTCTTCTGTGCATCTCCACTCACTGACTCTCCAGAGGCCTTTTTCACTGTGCAACAGCTGTGGCCATTCCCAAAAATCTCACCTCAGCAGTTTTACACTCTCTTCCTCCCTCACACAGCCTAAGCAGGTGACACTTAACCTCTCACAATAGTGGCAGTTGTTTCTAGATCTCCAAATCCCCTTTTCTGAGCTGGTCACAAACTGGCCAGCACCTTTTCCAGAGCACAGGCATCTGGCAAAGGAACAGCATGGAGCCTTTGCTCCCCTGGGACAGCACCCCTGGGCTGGTGCCCTCCTCGCAGCCTGGCATTTCATTTCTTCTTGCAACAATATCTGCACTCAGAGCCCCACAGCTCACCTGAGGAGTAGCTGGGGAGGGACGTTTCTCCTCTACCCCAAATGAGGCTGAAAGAAGGAAGGAAAATAAAACAGAGACCGTTTAAATATTCACTGGGATTAAAGCAATCAGCTTTCTAAGGAACAGCAAAATTGGCCTCTGCTCCACAGTTTGTGTCCCCTGGGTCTGCTGAGGGGACAGGGAAGGCAGGCACTCTATTAGCAGGTATTCAGGCTCCATGGCAACCATAGTTTTGCTAATCAGGGCCAGCACAGACCTGAAGTGCTTTTTCACCTGGCAGGAGCACTGGGCTGAGTTAGCCAGGGGCGCTGCCTTGGCCGAGCCCCCCGGGCAGTGAT